CGCAGCCAATCATAAAACGGTTGCAAAACTGTTGAGTCTGCTGAACGCAGCCAGTGCATTCAGTACTATAACTCTCAACCAATGAGAACTCAGTATTCAGTAGTAAAGAAAACGCGCGCAAGAAGTTAGTGCTGTTTGCATGCTATAACCAGTGATGCGAATTCCGGGCCGCTTACAGCACGCGATCAGCGAACGGGCTCGTGCTTGTGCCATCGGTTGCGCCAGACCGCCGATCGCGTGCTGTAAGCGGCCCGGAATTCGTATCACTGGCTATAACCTAAATTTCGAGTATGGCAGACATGGAGTTTCATGATAGTTCTGGGCGTGATTTTGAAATAAGGATTAACCGAGAATTAATTGCCGTGGTCCGGTGCAATCGGTTTTTGTATGATAAGACCGAAAAATTATATGCCAACGCCAATGTGAAAACCGAAGCATGGAGACAAATCGGTGCAAGTCTCTAAGTCATTGTAGACACTCAGACGTAAAGAGACCCTAATCCTACAGCCTACTTCTAATGTCTACTTCTTAATCCACTACTGCTACTGCCCATTGTAGACCACGCAAAATAGATTTCAACCATTTCGCTTACGAACTTACTCTACACCCTATAATACCGAAAAACCAGCTTACTGCGACGTCTTACTGCTTCATCCGCTACTACTACTGCCTATTGTAGACCACGCATTCCGATTTCTTTACTGCTTACGTATTACGGCCTTACGTTTATGTATGTGCCATGGGCTTTAGAGGAGGATCAGAGGGAAATTGAACGACTTTGGGTATTGGATATCCAGGTGGGGAATTCTAACGCACCTTTGAGTCTAATGCAGAAAAAACCCCTAGTGCTTATTACGAACAGCTTCCCAACAAGCAACATTGTTTAACATTTCACCTTTATTTAACATTAGCAAACAAGGATGTGATGATTTACTATAATGTTACACTGCATCATTCGTGTTTCTTGTTGGGAGAAGTGTCTTCTACTATTGACAAGAGTTCGGATCATACAGAAAAGCATCAAAACATAAAAAAAAAATAACACTTGGTGTGTGTGCACGCGCGCGCGCGTGTATATGTGTGTGTGTGTGTGTGTGTGTGTGTGTGTGTGTAAAACTAACTTTTGGTATTTTCCAATAAGCAACACAGTGATTGTCATCTTCGTTTAACATTAGCAAACAACAAGGATGTAATGATTTACTGTGTCATACTGTCATCTGTGTCTCTTGTTGAAAAGCACCCTTCATCAGTTTGCACCTAAAATAAAACGCGTTTTATGTTAAGTATATACATATCTCTAAGATAAACACAAATATATATATAATATTCACTTATTTGTGAGTAATATAAATATAAAGCAATATATTTGTGATAAGAGTGTGAACTAAAAATATATATAGTTATAAAAATTTAAAAATATTTTGCAAATAAAGATAATATAGAATTCTTGTGTATAATATATAATTTGTACGATATTCAATAATAATAATGTTTATCAGTTATAATGCAGACTTCTTCCAAATCTACTTCAACATTTTCACATATGAAACCCATAATCAGTAATTTATTTTTCACAAATAATGATATTACTGTAAGATTTGTGTACAATATAAAAAATACTTGTATAATAATGTTCAATGATTATCCTTCAATTATGGCAAACTATTTGCAAATCTATTTCAACATTTTCATACATAAAATTCATGATTAACAAGTCTAATCGTTACTATTTGTTAAATACTCTGGTAGAAAAATTTTGCTATTATTTCACGTTTTGAAACATTTTCAACAACATTTCAGAAAAATTTCAGTTTAATTTGAACGATTTTTAGTTGAAAATTTGTTTTCGGCAAAATTTTAAGAGAAATTTTAGCAAAAATTTCAGCAAAATTTCAGTTTAATTTCAGCGATTTTTCAGTATGTTAACTGCAAAATTCACTTTCAGTGAAATTTCAACAAATGTTCAGCAATTTTGTTAAAATGTTCCAAAACATGGAATAATTTCAGCGAAATTTTTTCACCAGGGTAAAGTTCACTATATTCGTTTGCAATATTAAAAATTGAAATTTTAATAGTAACAATACACCCAATTTTAACAAATCATTTGCAAATTTTCACATGTACAAGCTATGAAACAACTGTAGATTCTTTCTATTCTAGAATACTAACTGCATGCATGTGCACTAAATGAAAAAGTAACTAAAATGTATTTCATGATCTTTATGCTTAGATTAAAAAATGATATTAAAATTAGAAGATTTAAAAGTCATAGAATATAACAGATATAACATGGCCTCAATTAAAAAATGGAAGCTTGTTTCTGATGAGTTTCCAGAAGTATTAAAAATATCTAAAATATGAATTATAATGCAAGTTTATCCTGATCGATACATATCGAATCAGATATTGGAATTTAGTATACTAAAATTATCTAATACTGAATATTAATCTGAGATATAGAAATAAGATGTAAAAAAACCATTATACTATTTCGCCTAATAATAATTTTTCTTTCTTCATTTCTTTATCTGCACAAATATTATCGGCTGCATCTTTATCATTCTTAAGATTGTTATTCGCATTATCGTGAGTTATCGAAATATCACGTTTTGATTATGTTTTCGTCATCTTCATTGTGACTTTCATTAAGACTTTCGTTGAAACTATTGTCAAGATTTTTACTTGTTGTTGCTTCAGCACTACAGTTGTTTGCAGGCTTAGGTTCTATATTTAACGTCATATTACGGATACATTTTCTTATCTCATGTCCGATAGCAGCTGCCAATGGTGGTGGCACCGCATTACCAACCTGTCGATGCTTATCGGTTATTGTACCGAAAAAACGATATGAATCAAGAAAACCTTGAGATCTTGCACACTCTCTCACACTGACAACTCGATTTTGTATTGGATGCAAAACACGACCCTGAAAATCAATTATTAGATTTGAATTAAGGACTTTCCAAGTAAGAAATAAGCGACAACACAAGAAAAATATCAGAGCGATCCGAGATTCGAACCGAGGCATGGTCTCCTCCGAAATAATAGACTTCCGTCTTTTGAACCACACAGCTCTGACGCTGATAGCTTCTCTGTTGTGCCTATTTCCTTTAAATTTTCTTACAATACTTGCATCACTTTAAATTACTGAGAGTGCGTTCCGTTTTCACACTCATACATTAGTTCATCCTCAATATAATCTATCAAATATTAAACAAAGACTAATGAGGCTTATAAACGCAATGTGCAAAACGAAACCACAGACTTCTATAATATTATATAAGTCTATGAACGGAACGCATCCTAGATGTGTATCATTTTAAATATTTATCAACATACTTGTTTACCCATCGGCTCCGGATTAGTGATAGTTGTACTGAAAAACCCATTCCATTCAATTCTTCCGTACAAACCCTTCCAATTATTGTGTCGGCTCGCGGTATGTGGTAAACACCACGGAATCAAAGTATTAAATTGTTTATCAGTAGGATCACACGGTTGACCACTACTACAACTACATACTCCACGAAATGCATTCGTTGAGCTTTTCCCAATTCTCGTATCATTATGCATATATTCTCTAAAAAAAAATAATAAAATTTAGATTTGGTTAATTAATATAATTGAAGAATTAATATAATTGAATGATTTATTAAGAAAGAAATAATTAATGTTTTTAAGAATGTTGTACAGTGCCAGAATGCAGTTACTTATCAAGTAAAAGATCTGACTAGCTACATACATGACATTAGGAATTTCGAGTGGGAAAATTCCTACTCTAGAAAAAACTTAAACTAAACTTATCCCAATAGATGTTACACGTACAATTTCTTGGTATAGGTACCGTCACTCAATTGCACCACAATATTCGGCAGATCACGCCAATCAGAACCATTTGTAGTTGGAATATAGCTCATTCGCGCTTCTACAAGCGGAGACATTTCTTTGCATATGTGATCCGTTAATCTTGATTGATACGGTTTACCTCTCATCTAAAAGAAATCAAATAATTTTAATATTTGTTTCTAAATATACTACACATAACAATTAAGGGATTATTTTAAAACCTGCAAATATTGCCAATATTTAAAAGCCTGGATCTCAGCTTCCAGAGATTTTTCTAAGTACCTTTTAAAGGATAAAATCTTGACTTTAAAATAGTTAAAATGATATTTTCCGCTCCATCGAATGATCTTTTTACAAAGACAGAAGCAGGTCGTGTCAAAATTCTGAAAGTTTCATAACTTTTCAGCTTTTCATGAATAAATGGAGCATTCTCGTTCCTTGATGTGTTATGCTGGTAGTAATTGTCCAAAATCTTGCAAACTATAGAATCCAGAAAAATTGTCCTGCAATCCCTGAAGCTAAGATACAGCCTTTTAAAGATCGGCAAAATTTGCAGGTTTTAAAGTGATTTCCTAATTGTTGTGCGTATATACCGAAATGCATTCATATAATAGTTACCTTCCTTTGAAAATGTGTTATCGGTTCACCAACGTAAGATATCTCCTCTACATTTGAACCACATTTAATTTCTGGTAAATCATACAAGGCATCTTTTACAGTAATTGCTCTGTAAGGAGCAAATTCCTTCCGAACACAGTTGGTAATATACTGAAATATACATTACAAAAAAATCTTCATATTAGATATATGTCAATATCATCATACACGAGGTCTATCACAAAAGTACCCGACCTCTGTGCATCTTTATTCTTGGGCATCCTCTGTTGTGGAAAATAGGCATTCAGTATTTAGAGGAGACTTTGGCTGCGTTCCACTTATTGTTCGCAGCGCTCGCGAGCATCGTTTGTCTTTGTTTAACATTTGATAAACGAGGATGAAATGATTCCACGAGCGTTGTAAGTGTTAAATGGAACGCAGCCCTTAAGAAGTAAAAGTATCTACAATAGAGAGGATGCCTAAGAAATTAGATATATGCAGTGATCGGATACTTTTGGGATAGACCTCGTATATTTTTTATACATTCCATGTGCGATTGTTCATACATCGACTTGATTCTGATAATTTCTATCAACTGATTTCAGAATCAATATATAAAATATATTCTGTTTATACCTGGTACGTAAATATGAAACCGGAATTTTTTTATAGAAAATACATGTTTATTGCATGAAAATGATAAAAAATATTTTATTCGAAGTATTGCCCATCGCTAACTATACATTTTTCCCACTTGTCTGACAATTTGTGGATGCCACGCCAAAAAAATTGTTGCTCTTTTGAGCCAAACCAGTCATCTAGCCATTTTCGTACATCTTCGTAAGAAGTGAAGCGCTGCTGAGTAAGTGCGTGTCCCATCGATGCAAATAAGTAGTAATCGGACGGAGCCAAGTCTGGTGAGTAAGCCGCATGCGAAAGTATTTCCCAACCAAACGCCTCAATCGTTTCCTTGACCAGTTTTGCTGTGTGTGATGGTGCATTATCATGAAGCAAAATCACTATGTGTCTTTTTTGATATTCTGGTCGTTTTTCACGCAAAGCTTGATTCAAATGATCATTTGTTGTCGGTAGCGTTCAGTATTAACGATTTCGCCAGGTTTTAGCAACTCATAATAGTTCACACCTTTTTGATCCCACCAAACACAGAGCATTGTCTTCTGTCCATAGCGATTTGGCCTTGCAGTCGATGTCGATGGTTCGCCTGGAGTTACCCATGATCTTTTACGCTTAGGATTCTCAAAATATATCCACTTTTCATCGCCAGTCATAATTCGATGGAGAAATGACTTTCTTTTGTATCTGGCGAGCAGCATTTCGCAAGTGGTTTTTCGGTTTTCCTGCTGTCTTTCATTCAGTTCACGTGGAACCCATTTTCCCATCTTCTGGATCTTTCCCATGGATTTCAAACGTATGGAGACGGCTTCTCGTGTCACATTCAATTGATCCGCAAGTTGTTGTTGAGTTTGAGCGTCATCCTCATCCAACAATGCTTGCAATTCGCTGTCTTCAAACTTTTTCGGTGGTTTTCCACGTTCTTCGTTTCTCACGTCAAAATCGCCATTTTTGAATTTTTTAAACCACTCAAAGCACTGTGATTTACCAAGAGCATGCTCACCGTAAGCTTCGACAAGCATTCGATGCGATTCTGCAGCAGTTTTCTTCAAATGGTAACAGAAAATCAATGCTGTCCGCAAATCGTAGTTTCCAGACACAAAATTCGATATGTTCAACGCTATTACAAACTATACTGTTGTATGAAACTTGTATTGTTGTGAGTTGAAAATTTTTGTCAGATGTCAGAACAAGGAAATGGCGTCAATGACGCGGTCTGACGGCAACTACATTGACAGCTATGGCCATCTATTGGTAAATTCCGGTTTCATATTTACATATCTGGTATATACACACACAACAGTAAAATTAAAGAATCATTAAATTTTTGCTAAAAAATGATCTTTGAACTGTTGCAAGTTCGTTAAAAAAAATCGTACAATTATCTTCTTAGACTATTTGTCATTGTCAATTTAAGAAATAAAGCCTCTACTTTCATCTTCATTTGATTTTTCTCCAAGATATTTTTTATATTAAAAAACGAGGTAGGAGATTCAAGGATTTAAATCTCGAAAATTGGGTAAAGTCAAATGACTCTATGGAGTTGAATTGTAAACATTTTTTTCGTGATTCAAATCAGCATAAATTTGAAAAATAAAGCCTGCTCTTTAAAACGGCTTATTCAGGATTGTCACAGAAAACGAATTTTAAAATTTTCTGACTTTTCGAGGTTTTTCATATGAAAATAGAAACTTTTCCGTGACCAATAGAAAATATGTAAATTTTAACATTTAGTATCAAGAATTGTAAAAAAGAATGCAGTTATGACAAAAAAAGGCGATCAAATAAAAATACTGAATAGAATATAAATTTAAATTATTTTATAAAGGGAAGAAAACATTTTTTTGACTCTCGAAAATAAAAATAACAATAATTCTAGTAGTTCCTGAATTTACAAACAGTAGTACACATATATATCCTCTTTATAATTAGCGCAATTTAAATGTTATCTTTTGAAAGTACATACTAATTAACTAATACTTGTTTTTATATATTTTTACGTTTTACAACCGCGCGTTGACTTTCTACATTATTTTATGACTTTATCGTGGGTTCCTTTTTATTTTTAAAATGAAATATATTTTTAAATATATACTTTTACAAATTAGAAAATGGAAGTGAAATAGTAGTAATTACTTTTGAAAATATTGATTTTTAATACTATGTTTATCTTTTCTACAGAAATGAGAGACCTTTTTGTTCAATTTCAAAACAATGCATCTTTTTTATATTATAGAATTATTATATTAAGTTACAGAGATCTATCGGTCAGAAGTTAGATAATAGTGCGAAATTTAAATTAATTCCGCATATTGTTTCATCGATGACTACTTATATTTTATTCTCACTGTATGTCTGCATGAATGTGTGTACATATATAACATAAAAACAGAAAATATAAAGACATACCCTTTTAGAATCCACAATTACAGATAATGAGCAACATCGTTTACTGAATACATGTGTTGGTATTGGATACTTTGGAAGTATTTCTCCAGGTGCAGCAGCTAAGAGTATCATCCTATAAATTGTTAAGTTATTAACAATTACAACATTAATAAAATAAAATTAGATATATTATTGAACATTTGATTGCAAATAAAGGAAAATGGAACAAACCTTCTTCTCGTTTGTGGTACCCCATAACTTCCAGCTTGAAGAATACCAAATGTACACTGATACCCCATACGAATAAGACATCTTAAAGTTAATTTTAATACCATACTCTTCTTACAGAACACAAAATTTCGCACGTTTTCCATCACAAAGAATTTTGGTCTATAATAATCGCAGTAAGATAAAAATGTAACGATAAGAGAATTTTTGAATAATGAGTACTGTCGTAAATTAAAACGATTCATGCCGCTGAAACCCTGACATGGCGGTCCACCACACAAGAGTTCAACATCTCCTTTTTGGGGAAGTTTTTGGCCGTTATTATCTACACGTTCGCCCTGAGAAAGAAAACAAAATTTTATTAAATTATAAAATTTTCAAAAAATAATCAAAATATATTCTTTTATATATATTAATATTCTTATAATTTATAAAGAGAAAAACGATTAAGAAACACAATGTATCCATTCATTAAATATCTATTCGAAATATTAATGTAGTGACAAAAATTTGTTTAGTGCATAAATTAAATATAGAATATAATGTAATAGAAACTTACATCCATCACTCTTTGTAATAGCTTATTGCAATCCTCCGAGAATACTATAGTCTTCGGATTATTTAAGCGATACGCATTTGCTGCAGAGCTTTCTTTCTCAATTGCCCACAGACTTTCAGCTACACCTGCTTGATGCATTCCTTCAGATAATCCTGTTAAATAAAAGTGATTAATTATATAATTTAAATACATGTAAAGGAGATGCAGAAAATAAAAGAAGCTAAAAGAGAAAATGAAAATATATAATATAATATACCTCCACAACCAGCAAAAATATCCAACATTCTCAATTTTCTTGATATAGTAGGATAATTTATAGGTGTTTCGATAACCTGCTTTTTTTCAGTTCTTTCCACTTTCTTAGTAGATTTACATTTCCCCTTTCCTTTCCCGGATTTACTCGTATTAATAATGTCATAAGGCGGTTCATCGAATGTTTTTTCTTTAGGATTGTATGCTTCAGTAAAATAGAATCTGTTGGAACCACCTATAGACCATTCTTCAATAGACTCACTCATATTTTTGAAATATGCGAGATAGCATTTACCAGCAACTACAGAGAAGTTTACGGTGCATACTACAACATGTAAATAAAGCAAGGATATTTCAGAGAGATATAAGTAAATCTTATCCCAGAGATACTTTTAAGAGAATTTTTTTCCAATATAAATAACATTTATCTTGAACACCAATTGTTTGTAATATTAAAGATATTAAAATTTTTAGAATATTTTTAGAATAATTTTAAATATTTTTAGAATAATATATTTAAAACATATTTATATATTTTTAAATTGTTATAACTTACTTTCATTGCTCCAATAAACCATATTAATGTCTGATTGCTCCATAAGCGCTATATCTCGGTGAGTATTTTCCGGCCTGTACATTTTATTCACTTTAATAAAAATATCTGTCGGTGCTACTAATATATCAGTTGTCGTAGCATATATTGTGTTAATGTAACCGATGTGGAAAGGTTCAGGTGTATCAACATTTGAGAATGATGATTTATCATCCGTTTTTTTATAAAATTCCGGATATGTATCTTCATCTACATAACTCATCTTTGAATTTTTAAATTCTTGATATTTTCGTTTATATTCAAACATAAAAGCTTTTGGGTACAAAAACACTGCACTACCAACTTTATATTCTTCACCTTTGTATTTTACTAACTCATAAATCACTTCTTTACTGCTTTTTACTTCTATTTGATTATAGACCTAGAAAGACAAAAGAAATATTACATGCCTATTCTTTAAGCACCAAAATAATAAATTTCAACAGAAATAAATATGTGTATGCATACAAACAAAATATACTTTTTTATGCACAAAACAATAAATAGAATGATACATAAAAAATTATTTAATAGAAGAAAAGATGCAAAGAAAATAATTTTTGTCAAAATTGTAATAACAAAAAAATATTTTAAACGGTTTACACCTTTTAATTATCCAAGAAATTGGAAAGAACAGTTATTATCAGATATCATATTAAATTGTAATTTAAAAATTGTTTTAGTAAAAATTGTTATTTAAATCTCTCTGACCTTTTCTTTTAAGTATTTCATACCTTAGGTATATCCTGTTGTGTTAATATAGCTAACCGAATACAAGAAGGACAGAATCGATGACTAATTTGTTTTCCTGGGCATTCGGGATCCGGTGGTGGATCCTCAAATCGAGCACTTTCAGGATCGTATTTCAATTTATAAAAGAACGTTTTACCATCTGTATCTTTTATATAATTATCTGTGTCCATATTACCTGCAATGTAAACAATTGTATATAAATACAGCTTAGAACATATATGTATAAATGGAAGAGGAATTGAGAGTGCTAAATCTGGGTATTATGGAATTATTCGAAATGGATTCCAATCGGAATTATTATTTGGTTTACGTTAAAATATTGTTTTTTTTTTCATTTTTACAAGCTTTTAAAGATAAAAAAATTTATAAGAATCGAAACTTAATTTTCAAAGTGATATCATTTTTTAAGTTTTCGATATTTTTCTTTCATTCTGATACCTGCTACAGCCAAAAGCATACTAATTAGGAATCATTTTGAAATTTTTGTTCCAGACGAGTAGAACGGTTTTTTTTTTTCATTAATAACGTCACAGCGATTCACTGAAGGTAGTTTTCATTTTTTTTTTATATAAAAATTCGTACGAATTTCTTAAATATTAATAAATGTATAGAAAAAACCTGATACCAATAACTTTTATGGATTTTTCGTAAAAAATTTGTAATCGATGCGGCGTAATGTAATATATGACAAATTTATAGTCTAACAAATGTTTTATGTTATTTTAATATTGAAGATAATCTACCTAATCTAAGGTCAAAACGTTTATCATTTTCTGTATACGAGATTGTTTGAATGGATATTTGCACTTTGATCCTGTGTTGGCTTTTATGTTCTTTTATTAATTAGTTTTGACTTATGTTCCTGATATGAACTATAAAACTTTTATATCTAACTTTAGAGTTGTATAAGTAAAAAATGAATTTTTCAATTTTTCTTTGATTTTCTTGTGAAATCGAAAATACACTCGGATTTCCTATTTATACGTATTTTAATTCTGTAAAAAATATTTTGCAATAAAATTAGAAAATTTTAGTTGTAATTTGTGATAACTGCATTCCAGTATCCCTTTATAAAATGATAAATAATTTAAATATTCTTACCTAGTTCAGACCAATTCTCGGGCATCTTTTTATGAATAACGGTTGCCTTTGATCTAATAGATGTGAATGATGCCTCGCAACATTGGTCGCTCAGAAATAATTCTATAGGATCCGATGTTTCACCAAGTATGGTATCGGTACCTCTACGAAGACGATTTGCATGAAATCGTTTTTCTCCATTTTTAGTCTCCCACATAAACACAACTTTACAAATTTGTAGAGGAATTGTGGGATCTCTAGGCTCCAACAAAACATAATCATTTATTTCAATTTTTTCGTTTCCAACAGTAACCGATTTATAATATGTTTTTTGTGCATCAACAATCTTATTTTCTTCTTCCCATACAATATCTTTCTTAAGTTCTTTAAAATCTTCATTTTTACTTTCTTGTACCATTTGATCTTCTACTAGACTTTCATATTGCTCTTCATTTTCATATTGCTCTTCATCAGAATCATCTGCTTCCTATATAAACAAATACTTAACTAAATATTATAATACATAAATTTTCGAAAATCAGAAAAAATGTTAATCTACTTTTAAAATAATTTTACTTTTATATATAATCAAGAAATAATTATAAATAAATAAATTTTTATATTCTAAAATTAAATTATACCTGAATTGCCAAATTTGGACATCTTCTTTTAATGCATGCCTGCTTTTGAACTCCCTTACCTCCAAATTTCGTCATATCCTTACAAGTAGGACAAATACCACATTCAGGTTGCTGACAGTTTTCACAAACACCACATCGCCTCCTTTTCAGTAACTAACAAAGAAAAGAAAATGTTTAAAAATACAATACAAATAAGAAAAAATATTAATTATAATACATAATAACATATACCTTGTTATTATTATTATTATTATTTTTAGCAAGTTGACCGGCAAAAATATTTTCAAACATATTGTTGACTAATTTTGTCGTAGTAGCCATTGACCAGGCAGGCATTTTAACTTTCGGTGCACGTCTCAATAGACGAACAGCTGATTTCTTACCCAGCGTGACACCAGAAAGTTTCATAAGAGATCGCATACACGGAGCCGTAATAAGAAGAGTATCTTCAATACCAGCACAATTATCTAATGACAAAACTCGATCACAAATAAATTGTGCATGTCGTAACAATGTATCTTCTGTGAACGTCATCGTTTCCTTAGGAGGTACTACTGTCTGTAATAAAAAATTTAGCAAAAACAATAAAACGAACAGAAAAAAATGTGGAAGTACAAAGTACACATTAAAATAAAAAACAGTATATTTACTTGAAGTTTATTCAGCAAGTCTTCATAAGTTGGATTAATTTCATCTAACAAAAATTCTATAACTAATTTACTCATATATATCTTCTCTTTAACAGCATCCATGAATGGCGCATAAGTTTCAGACGGTTCCATCAAAATATATTCCGCACATGCAGTACTAAAACCCACTAATACCAATTCTCCTCCGTCAAATCCAGTAACATACCATTCGTTTATTGGCCCCATATCTTTTGTCGGTATACCTCCTTCAGGTGACGAATTTTCTTCAAAGATAGCTTTCATATATCCAGAAAAATACAACAGTACGTTTTTTTCTATGAGTCCTGCATCAAAAGGACACAGATGTCCATTCATATCATAAACACTAAAAAAATAATTTTTCTGTCAGTATATTCAACTTTATACATATGCTTCTCTTAATATTAATATTCTTTAGAGAGGTACTTTACAATAATTTTTTAAATAATTTACAAAAATAAACGTCACATGTACTGTTTAGAAAGCTGTTTAGAGATAAAAGAAAATTCACCTAAAATGAGTTAATTTATTTTGTGGTCTCTCATCACTTTCATCTATAAAAGATTCATCTCCAATAAATAAACACAACTTAGGATCAGTTAAAGCTATCTCTTCCTCAACTGCACCATTTGGGTGTCCTTGATACAATTTTATATCATTATTTAATTTCTGTTTACAGTACTGGCATCGTTCTATTACAGCAGATGCCTTTTTATCTTGAGTTTTTAATTCAAGCATTTTTTTACTTTCCATTTTCATTCTCTTCTCTGGATTTTCTTTTATCTCTTGTTGACTTATTTCTGGATCATGATTTTCTTTATCAAATTCTAGGGTAACATTTTCATCTGTTTCTATTTCAGCCTCATGACAATCAGACATTATTGCTTCCAAATTTGTTTCAGTAGTCATCTTTTTTTTTACTGATGCTTGCTTAGGAACTCTATCTAATGCAGATAGATCTGAATTTATACTGGAATTTGATTCAGCTTCTTCTGTTACTCTATCTAATTCTACATTGTTGTTCTTCCTAGTTTGAGGTAATTTCTTTCCACTGCAACCTGAGTCACTCTCTGTCACAACAGTCCAAATAACATGAATTAAGAGTAATATTCACGAATAGCTGGCATTCATAATTCAATTTTAGATTTAATAAGGAATTTGATCACTCTCTTACAATATATTAGATTAATGTTTATTAAAAGCTATTATACATAAAATTAGCTAAGTTAAATGTAAAGCATATAAATATTTCAAACGATAAATTGCTTAATAATAACATTGTCATGTTATTTAATTAGAATACTCATATATATTATTTTATGCTCCATTATTTCAAAGTTTATCATACAACCTGGTTTCACTAATGTATAAAAGATTAATTTTAATTTTGGTTCGATTTATTTTTTCTTTTTTTAATTCTAAGAAATAAACACTTTCTAAGAATTAGAAAAAGACAAATAGTATGTTAAACCAAGATTAAAATTAATCTTACATTGTGGAATCGGCTCCATCACTGATACTTTATATCAACTTTATACCTAATTTTAACCTTATAGGGACATGGCATGCAAAAAGACTTAAGCAGTAAAACATAAGCAGTAAGCAAATTGACAGCAATCACAGTAGAGATTAAGCATAAGTAATAGTAAATCCAAATGTTTACTTACTGCTTAAGTTTTTTGTGAGTTATGGCCTTAATGGTTGTTCTACAATGTGTTCTTTGTTTCCTGTTTCTTGCTTTTTACCTTTTGCTTTTTTTCTCTTTGTGACATTTTATCGACAATTATATTTCTTGATATGTGTTTTCTATTTCTTCTGAAGTTCTTAACGGTTTAAACAGGAAACGAAAAACGGGATAAGAGGCAAAAAGGCAAGATACAAAAAATAGCAAAAAGCACGAAACAGGAAACAAAAGCACATTGTAGAATAGGCTTTAGAGTAAAGTGACCAACTTCGAAAGAAGGCAAAAAGGGAAATTAAAAAAATGCAATATTTAATTGTCGCAATAAAATTTTAATAAACATTTTTTAAATAATTTAAGGTTAACGAAAGACAAACAATATTATATCATTATATTTGTAAATAACTAATTACGCTTAATTATCAGTATTATCAGTCATAACAAAAATTACATCAAGTTACAAGATCACATTTTATTTTTTAAAATTGTACTTTTCTACTGAATGTATTTTATGAATATCTGAATTTTTAAATAAAAAAATCATAAAATTCTTCACATACTAGTTGAAAATTATATTTCACACTTATTTCATTTTTTTACACTTAAAAGTGGGATAATTTATAATTATGTCTTTAATTTGGAACGCATTGTAAAGTGGAACGAAGAGTTAAAATTTGGGACTGTCTCAACTTAGGACAATTGGTCACTAGGCTTTAGAGTCATTTCGACTAAGTAACTCCGATTGACTTTAATCAACAATTAAATTGGAATTGACCAATCACATTTGTCATTTCGCTTAACGATAGATGTGAATCACAATATTTGGTCGATTCCAATAGATTAAACCATCGATTAAAGTTAATTGCTGTTGGTCGCAATGGCCCTTAAGGCTACGATTGAAAATATCATCTGAGTACCATATATCGTTTTAAGCTTGTTATTCCCAGCGTAAAATAATGATAAGATGATCGAAGCACCCAGGGCTCCTATTCTGTAGCTGTTTTACAGGTCTACGTCTACCGACAGTTGTCGGCGTCGTTGCGCAGCTTTTTCATCATATAAAATATCTGCGCAACGACACCGACAACTGTCGGTAGGCGTGTAAAGACAGTTACAGAATAGAGGCCCAAGTGATATTTACACAGCCTAATGCAGATCATTTTCAGTTTAAAATCGGGCTATAAATACTGTCGCTAAATTAAAGGAGAAATGTATATCTTTTTCGTTCTTTTTTATAATTTTTTTCTAGAAAATTAAAACTACATGTTTTTCCTAGATTGTTATTACTATACTATACCATTTTACGTTACGTTATAGCAATTATTGAGCTGTTTTCAAGAAGAGAAATGCAAAACAAAAAATTTGATAACAGTAGATCACATTTCTTAGAGCGATGGCTGAGCGGTATCTAGCTAACAGTAACTAAGCGGCCGCGATTCCTCAACAGAATACATACTGAAAAAATTCCACGACACTAACCTCGCGGTTCGTCCTTCGATCGCCGAATGATGAGGTTACGTTTAACTATGTGACGTTTTTTGCGGGCCATTGTGAGAAAGACGAAATCTATGAAAATCTTTATTTGCTCCTATTCGCTCACTGATCACTGATTCACTACCACTGGTGCTCCCGATCAAGCACGACGAATATAAGCCTATAAGCTCACTTGGCTCACACGTGTCCCGCCACTCCTGCTCCCGCCATTCAGATATGTTCCCGCCAACGTTGAGAGTAGTTGAGAGATTGGAAACAGTGTTGCCACATGCCTTTATCGATTTCCTCCTAGGGGTCGATTCTGTGGCTGCGTTCCGTAAGGGCTTGTGTCCACAATGCTAGAAATCCGAGTTCTCGATCCAAGTCCTGAAATAGAAATAGTTGTACTTTGATGACTGTATATAGCGTTAACATAATAGGATATATGTAAGCGACATACGTAATCCTGTTGTATTGGATCGGAAAATCATTAGCTGCGTTCAGCAGACTCAACAGTTTTGCAACCGTTTTATGAATGGCTGCGTTCAGCAGAACGTTTGTTTTGCAACTGTTGGAAGTTTCCTTCGCGCTAATTGGATCATACTTTTAGATCTAGAAGAATGGTCCTATCTCAGCAGACAATCATAAAACGGTTGCAAAACTGTTGAGTCTGCTGAACGCAGCCA